CTTCCACAAAATCCACAGAGAGCCATGTCTCAAGTGTGCAGGTATTTTTATTGTTATTAGCAGTGTTTTATCACAAAACAGGAAATCCCATGTAATGGGTGCTGGGGGAAGCGGAAGGCCCAACCTGCTGGTCTGCTCCCTCCTTCTTCTCCCCAGGCAGGGAGTGCTGCAAAAAATTCTGCCATGTTCCCCCTCTGTTTCTGTTTCCCCATCAACCAGGTCCAAGTTTAGCAGCAAGACCAGATGACACAACATTTCAGCTTTTGTTAGGCACTCAGAGGAGACACATGGCCTACAAAATGAAGGGGAAAGCGCAATTGCTTCTCCTCTAGGCTTACACACAGATGGCTGATCCACTCACTGACTTCTCTGAAGGGCCAAAGGAGGAGAAACCTCTCTCTGCACAGTCAGGGAGAGCAACCTGAAGATTGCAAGCCAGCAAGATCCCAGCCTGATATTGTGCAAAAAATGAGTGAAAAGGTCAAAACATGGCTACTATAGTGAGTGGCTATGCAAGAGCAGAGAATAACATGATCTTCCTGTTCTCAAGGAAAACAAATCTGAGCTGACCTGATTGCTTCACTTCAGTAACAGCCTGCAAGACTCACAAAGCATGCAAAACCCTAAACAAATGTGAGACAAGAAGTATGGAAATGTCACTTGTCAGAGATTACAGGACTTGTAAACCTTGGAAACCAAGCCCCTATTGCTCCCTAACCTCTGCCTGTGCCAATGCTGCTTCTGTGTTACTGGCATCCCTGTGTCAGATACGCTGGTTATTTGGCTCCAGTGCCAAACCTTTTGTGATTGCAGGGAGGGCAAAAAGGTATTCTCCAACCTGAGTTGGGAAACTCACGTGAAAATCAGAGAGAAAGCGAGGGAATGTGTAGCTTTATCATGACCAGCTGCAGGCAAGGGAGTCCTCAGAGTTTGTGGCTGCTGCTACGTGACCCCCACCGGCTTGAGCAGAGCAGGAGCAGTCACCGCTCTGTAGGACTCGTTTCACCCTGCTGGGACTACCAGCACATGTAAACCAAACATGCAAAGAGCTCTCTGGCAGGGCCTCGGTGTGTTTTTGGGGCAGAGAAGGAAGGGAAGGAGACATTCACTGCATTTTGGGCTGTACCTAAGAACGTACTGCTTGAAAATACACATCCATGGAGAAATGAGCACTTATACCAATGGCAAATGCAAACTGCATTCCACACTCGGGCCTCCTGTTGAATGTGCATTCCCCCCAGGGACCTCAGCTTTTGGCCCACATATAGTATTTATCATATATTATATTCCATACTTATTTTCTGTGCAGCTGCACAAATACCACACTTAGAAGAATATGGTTTAATCACTTGAAAACACAGTCTTTATGAAGTGATGAACAAACCATTCTTATTCCTTGCTTCTCAAACCAACAACGCTGAAATGTCCAGCACAGATGTCTCATTTTCACTTCCAGATGTTTTCTATATTGGGCAGTAATATTCAGTAGTAGTTTAATTTGAAGAATTATTTTATATGAAGGCATGAAATACAAGAGGCCGTAGAGAAATATAGAAGCCATTTAATTAAAAAGGCTATGAGATAAAATGGAGTTTTAAAAAATTCTCTACAGCCATAGAAATATGTGACTTCGTGTTCCAAAGAACAGAATGTCACCATTTGAGGATGAGACAAAGCCTGAGTAATTAATTAGAAAATGTTTGGAAAGTATTGAACTGATTTCGTACTCTAAGAATCAGTGATGTGTTTGCTCCTGAACCACGGAATTTATTTTAAAAAAACCAAACCTCTATCCACTGCTTTTATTTCTAATAATGGTAAAAAGCATCCAAAAAAAATGTCTCCTTCACTCCTTCTTTAAAGGCTAGCAGGCCTGTCTTGAAATATACGCTTCCACATGCACAAACTGGAAGTTAAAATTTCTGCTTGAGATCATTAAAACTAGTGGGCAAAATTTCTTCCTGGGGCCAGATCTTTATTAAGCTTTGTCTCCTGCAGATGTAACTGCAGCTATTTTGTCTCAGGGGAACTCTGGAGAAAGGTTCCACACAGGGACAACCTCCCAAGCACCCACAGTCACTGCACAATTGCAGTGCTCCCACATCTCAACACTTTTTTTACTGTGCTTCCAGAGTATGGCTCAGATACTCTTTTTGCTCAGAGGCCAGATTTAATTTTCACTATAGTCAAAAGACTCGTTTAAAATCACATCTCAACAGAGAAATCATAACATTGACACTTACATAATTTTATTAAGATCCATGTTTGTATTTTCCTGAAAGCACCATGTTCTACAGTCATGCCATTGTGTATGAATTGGAGCTTAAATATATATATATAAAATAAATGTTTGTGGGTTGTTTTTCTTGGGAGTGGGGGTGGGGCATGGGGTGGTGGTATACAGAAAAAACACTGAAAATGTGAATTTCAAAGGTTAAAAAAAATCCAAAACAGAAATGTAAAACACTTACAGTATGGTAAAATTTCACCATTTTAGGTGTGAGGCAAGCCTTTTTTCATGCTAGGATTTAGCAAACTGATCTCTACGTGGCCTACTTTTTCATCCCCATTTCTGACACATGAGAATAAAGTATATCAGCAACTTCTTTGAATTCGGTGGAAGGAGACCTGGGAACCTGTATGAATAAGGTGACTTTTTGGACTGTTTGCAGACCTGGATCAAATCTGATTTTACTATGGGAAAGATACATACCATTTTATGTATCAAAATTTTTATTATTTCAATTCAGGGGTCTCAGTGCAGTCCTTAGTTCTTTTTGAGAATTACAGTAATAACTATAGGAGGCAAATGCAGAAAGCTGGGACCCTGTGCTGCTGTGTTATAAGTCTATGTGGTGTTGCCAATATATGTTACTAGCTTGAATGAAGCAGTCAGGAATTTCTGGAGCCAGTAAGACACATTTTGTGATTCCTCTTCATGCTTTATGGCAAAGATTACGGAGACTCTTCCTCAGATTTGGCAGAAACCCAACAACATAACATATACTTACTTTTATTAATAATGTCTTTGCTACCTTGATACAGCTTTATAAAAAAAAAATTTCAGAATGCAGCAGTAAAATAAACCTGCAAAATTAGAAGATGCATTAAAATTCCTGATTTTTAACAAACTGAAGTACATCTGAATAAATAGACTAGACTAGAGGAGTTGAGTTGAACAGGACCTACAATGATCATCTAGTCCAACTGCTTGATCACTCCAGGGCTGACCAAAAGTTAAAGTGTATTGTTTAAGGGCATTGACCAAATGCCTCTTAAACATTGACAGGTTTGGGGCATCGACCACCTCTCCAAGGAGCTTGTTCTGGTGTTTGACCACCCTCTCCATAAATCAATGCTTCCAAATGTCCAGCCTAAACTTCGCCTAATGCAGCTTTGAACCATTTCCATGCATACCATCCCTGTATCCTGGGGAGAATAGATCAGCACCTTCCTCTGCACTTCTCCTCCCCCAGAAGCTGTAGATAACAATGAGGTTGCCTTGCAGCCTCCTCTCTCCAAACAAGACAAACCCAAAATCCTCAGTCACTCTCCATAGGACATGCCTTCTAGCCCTTCCCTCAGCTTTGTTGCCCACCTCTGAACACATTCAAGGACCTTCTCAGATTGTGAGGCCCATAACTGCACACAGTCCTCAAGGTGAGGCTGCACCAAAGCTAAATACAGTGGGGTAATCACCTATTTTGACTGGCTGGTTGTGCTGTATTTGATGTACCCCAGGATGCAGCTTACCCTCTTGGCTTCCAGGGCACACTGCTGACTTGTATTGAGCCTGATGTCAACCAGCACCCCTAGATCCCTTTCTCAGGGCTGATCTCCAGCCACTCCTCTCCCCATTTATGTTTGTGCCTGGCATTATTCCATCCCAGGTGCTGAAGTCAGCATTTGGACAGAATAAATTTTATGCCAGTCATGATTGCCCCTTGCTCCAATCTATCTATCTGCAAGGCCACTTGTCAAGAAAATCAACAGCACCTCCCAGTTTGGTATCATCAGGAAACTTGCTAATGGTGCATGCAACTCCTGCATCCCAAATACGTTGAGTAGAACTAGCACTGGAATGGAGACCTGAGGAACACTGCTGGTGACCAGTTGCCAGCCAGATGTAGCCCAATTCACAACAGCCCCTGGACCCCTGCCCTTCAGACAGTTCTTCACCCAATGCACCACGTACCTGTTCATCTCACAGCTGGGCAACTTGTCCAGAAGGATGATGTGAAGGCCAGTATCAAAAGGGTTACTAAAATCTAGGAAAAAATATCCACCACCTTCCCTTCATCAACTAGGCAGGTGACCTATCCATAGAAGGATATCAGATTAGTTAAACAGGACTCCAAATACGTTGAGTAGAACTAGCACTGGAATGGAGACCTGAGGAACACTGCTGGTGACCAGTTGCCAGCCAGATGTAGCCCAATTCACAACAGCCCCTGGACCCCTGCCCTTCAGACAGTTCTTCACCCAATGCACCATGTACCTGTTCATCTCACAGCTGGGCAACTTGTCCAGAAGGATGATGTGAAGGCCAGTATCAAAAGGGTTACTAAAATCTAGGAAAAAATATCCACCACCTTCCCTTCATCAACTAGGCAGGTGACCTATCCATAGAAGGATATCAGATTAGTTAAACAGGACTTTCTCTTTGTGAACCCTTGTTGACCGTGCCTGATGATTGCACTGTCCTTGAAACACTTTTCAATAGGACCTGGTATGATCTTCATTGGTATCTACAATCAAAAGGTTTGCCTTCTGGACTCATACAGGAATGCAGAATTACTGCTTATCTTTTGCCATATGCCCCTGCCTTCTCCAGTCCATATCAGAGGATGAAGTCATCCACAAGCTTTGGACAGAAATACATTTTTTATGGTTGCAGTCTTCCCAAAGCTCCACTGTGTACTTTACACCCTGAAAGTTTTTTTTTCTTCTCAAAAATTTCCTTGAGTTTTCAGAAGAAGCCAAATACACAAAACACTTGCTGAAAGCATCAGAATACATTTTATTAATGAATATCAGATAAGTATAAATATTTGTGGCCTCCAAACTTACTTTAAAATAGTAACATAAATTTCTTAGAACCTGAGGCCCACAGAAGTCATTGGAACAGCTCTAACATATTTTCTGGTCTTTGGAAAGGGACAGAAATTAATTAGTTTAGTAGATTCGTTAGATTAAATCACTTATCGTTTGATAAATGATTTGGAAGGAGTTAGGGCTCAAACAGATTTGATTTCTTCCATGTTCACACACAAAGATAAACAGCGAAATGCATCCTGCTGGGGTTTCCCATTGTACATCTTCTGAAAAAATGACTGTTAGGGATTCCTCCAGCTTTTCTTCAGATACTTGGTAAATGCATGCAGGACTGCTTCTTGAAGTCTGTCGCTGTGGAATACCCATAAAGGGACAAACTGCAGGACACATGCCTTCAGAATAATGAAGCAAAAACAATACAAAGGCAAAGGGTTATAGGAATGTCTTGGAAAAAATCAACTGAGTGTTAGAAAGGTCATAGAAAACAGTAAATACAAAAGCTTTTACTTTATGCTTTCAGTACATATGTTTCTCTTAGAGGAAAATGTTCATTCCTCTCAGATTTTAGCAAATCTGTTCTCGCCCCTGCACTTTCATTAAATGCTCATTGTTAACAGCTGTCATGTATAAATATTTATTCTATTTTGTTAGATTGGTGTCCTAAGGAAATGATGTTTATGTGATACCACAGTCCGGTTTTATGTCCTTTCCCTTCCCCACTAATAACTTTTGAGTCTGATGGCTAATTCCTGTGAAGTAGGGGTCTCAGGAATATTCCTAACAGGGTCATGAAAGCAGGCAGCTAGGGAAAGGGTAAAGACTAACCAGATATCAAATTGAGCTTAGCTCAAGACACAAAAGTGGAGAAAACCACACTGTTCTGATACCACTGTGCTTTGTTTGTGTATTTGTCCCTTCATAGTTTACTGGTGTCATATTGGCCTTAGTAACCTGTTCCCTGTTTGTCATTTGATAACCAACCTCAAGGTCTCTGAAACCAGTCAAAAGAAACTACTGAGCCCAGAGAGCCTTGGTTCAGTCTTTGGGACCCATTTATACACTATCAAAATAAATTACCAGCATTTCATGGGCTAAACATCCAAAGATCTCATCTCCAAAGGTGACATAATCCAGTGATTCACTAACAAACTCTTCTGCTGTCTTTGTAATAAGACCAGGCTTTTGGTACATTGTCATTGGAGTAGAAACACCATAAGGAGCCACTACCTAAAATAAGAAATCCTAGTAACAGTGTAATGTCATCTAACATTTAGACAAGGCCATTCATTCTGCAGAATCCTACAGCATCTGAACAACTGTAACAGATACTTGCAATGGATCAAGACAGTCCATGGAATACATAAGATACTATGGTGGAACAAGATAAAAAGCCTATAGCTGCGTAAATGCAAGAGAAAAAGCTTTGACAGTGTCAATCAGCACTTCACCAAGGTCAGCTACACTATGTAGATTTAGGATCTCAGACATTATTGAAGAATTTGTTAAAATGGAGGAAAATATTGCAAGTTATAGCATCACCTGTATGATGATTCCCTTTGCCTTGTACTCCCTTCGTAGTGCTTTGGAGAAAGTGCTTATAAAAGCCTAGAATTAAAAAAAAATCAACATAACATTAGTATAGAAAATGAAGTACTTTCACATATGCCCACAAATATGTGGGAATAGGTCCTTAGCAAAAATGTCCAGGTGCCATGCAACCTAAGGCATAGTGCAGTGGTGAAAAACATCAAAAGTAACTTTTCAAGACACATTTTCTTCTGCTGCATGTGAGCAATGGCAAGACTGACTGTTTATCTGCACCAGAAAAGACAAACCCTGGCATTGGTCCAAACCAGACATGAAACAAGTTCGACTGCAGCCTGGACTGAAAGCTTTGTCACATTTCTGAAAATGCAGAGATATAAACACCAGTGTCCCATTTATTCTAACAGTTGTCTCACGTGGCTCATGTCTCTGTCTGACACCTGCCCTCCCAATTCAAGGCTCACACTGCTGTTTCTCTTGCAATAAGACAGGGAGTGAAATACAACTCATTATTTCAGTGTATACCTATCAGCATAGCCTACAAGCATAATTTTCAAAGTCATGTATTTGTTTATCTTTGTAAGTTTTCCTCCACACCATGAAGAATACACATATACTACATTGTGTAAAGTTACATTTCTTTCAGGGCTGGTTTTAGGAGTTAGATCTTTGAGAAATATTCCAAAACTTGACAACATTGGATTACTACTCTGTAATCAGAAATACATAAGTCCCACTAAGGAGAAAGAATGACAGTGTTTCAAAGCTGTCATTTGACATGTCTTAAAATTTATACACCAAAAGTGTTGTGATATTGCATGAAATATCAATATGCTGACAAGTAAAATAGCTTATAGTTTCTTTAAAATAAAGAAACAAATGTAAAAGACAGCCAAGAAAGAAAAAGTCAAACTAATACAACCAATGCACCATATCACTTTGAAATAACATTAACTAACTTTTTTAAGGAATTAAAATTGTCTGGTTTGAATGTAGTTCAAGTTTTGAGGAATGAGAAACTTATGTTAAAAAGAGAAGAAAAAGGAAATGGAAAACTAGAATTTCTTACTAAGAATAATTAGGTTTTTCTTACCAGGTTGAACTTTAGTTATGTTCAAACAAATATTGTTAGAATTTTTAATTTGGGGCAAACCTGAGCTGAGCAAGTGGCTTTTGGAATTTCAATAATTTTGAAATTGTTTATATTTATTTATATTTGTATATATTATATAATATATGCATTTTTATATATTATTATAATACTCCTTATTTTTATGAGCTCTGGGGTTTTAATTCAGAGCAAAATTTCAAAGTGAAATCTATGAAGTCAGGCAACTCACCACCCACCTACCAGGAATTTTATTCTTGGTTCCATAAGCAAAATCTAGCACTTTTGTGTGCTTGCAGTTTTGAGAAAACTACCAAAGTCAACTTGGTAAAAAACATCACTTCCTGGAACAAGAAGAGATTGTAAGATCACTGGTTTGATCAAAGGCAAAATTGTTCCAATGATCAGGCAAACTTCAGCTGATTTCATTTGTATAGCTTCACTGATTTCTAGTTCTCAAGTAGTGCTCATTTACTTTGCTTCATTATTTTAGTGGAGCAACAGAGATTTATGTCCTGAAACCTGACCCTGTGTTGCTGACACAAACACTTTGGTAAACACTTGATGGGTATTTCTTTGTAAAGCAATGTGAATGACTTACCTTAGAAGCTGAGTACATTGTGTATAATGGGCAAGGGAAAGTACCCAGACCAGAGGACAGATTCAGAATAAGACCTTTTTGTCTGAAATTCAATTTAAACAGTTACATTCAGTTTACATTTGACAGTATTATAATAATAGCCTGCACAAGTTGAAAAAAAACTTTTTTGCCCCAGAAGGCATAGGTCTCCTATTATACTGTAGACTACACTTACAAAAGACCCAATTTTTACAGTTTTGTTAGGTACAATTAAGTCTAAACAAGCTAGGAATAATGTCGTAAGTGAGATTTAAATGCCTAGTGCAATCAGAACCATGGGAACATTATACATGCTATTGTACATCTATCAGAGCAAAAACTGCCATTAGAGGAAAGATTTTATGCTCCTAAGTAATTGGTAGGTCCCCTTTGCTCATTAGCCAGCACATTCTTTTTCCTGCTCCATGCATCTGTTGTTTTAGCTTCCCTATTCACAGCTCCCTGTACAAATCACTAAAAATAATTCATTCAGCAGCAACCAGGAAAAAAAAAGATCCAAAACAATTAAACACTGGGAGCTTATTTTGTTGCCAAAACAAAAAGCATGCACAAATCCGCTAAAATGCAGCAGTTAACAATGTTTTCTAGAAACTCCATTTGAAAACCTTAACTTCTGGTTTAAGGACCCCCATGTCTAAAATATGGATTGTTTCAAAAGGAGAAAAGCTGAATTGATCTCTCTGATATAGTACAGGTATTTCCAGAGCTTGAAAACTATTATTCTAAGTACAGTTACCACTCTTAGAAGAAAACCATGATATATTTGAATGCCGTTTCTTGCCTAACCAAACCCACTTTATTTCTGCAATGCCTACATGTTTTTACTGGACAAAGACCTATATATTATTTTTTCTGTCTGGTTCTACAGTTGACTGACAATTTGTGGCAGTTCCTATCATTCATTCGCACAGCACTAACAGCAACAGAAGTAAACCTTACTGATTGACATAATTATGAAAAAGCATAGCTATCACTGAGTAAACTGGAGGTAGCAGCTAAAACCTACCAAAAGTTCTAGAAAAAATTCTTTTTACCTTGGCTCCATTTTTTTCAAAATTATTTTTGTCATCTGTAAGACAAATACATCTGTAAGACAAAGACAATACAGAGGATCCATTCTTCCTCTTTTTGATTGCATTTTTCAACTGAGTTTGTTTTATTCACAAGATTTCTACTTGCGCAAGTCCCAGCCATATGTATACAGTTCAAATGGCTAAAATGTCACACATTCAAAGCTTTGGAGAACATTTTAAAGTGCTAATGCCTACAAATCATTGAATTGCCAAAAAATTCCAAAGATTAATCTTCTAAGTAGTGAAAGTCTTATGCTTATCCAAAGTTTTTCAACAGTATCTGAATTTCATCATTCTTCAATACGGAATCAAGAAAGTCAACTTCATAGTGATTTTGCAAATTTTTTTTCTGCCTCTGCCTGGATCAGAAGTAGCAGAAAATCAAGAAAGAAAACTTTTTCTTTTCTTCCTGACACCAAAGAGTGCTTTATAATAATGTCAATGGCAATTATTTAAAAGGAATATAAGAAATATAAGGAATATAAGAAAGGAATCCCTTCTTATTTTAACAATAGACTTAATCACATTTGTGATTTTTAAAGTGCAGTTAGATCATTTTTTTTTTGTAAGAAATCTGCTTTTGCTTATTGTATTTGAAGAGTACTATTGATAATAAGCCTGGGTCCCTAGGGAATTCGTACTCATACTATTGACTCTATAAAAACACACTTAACGTGTGACTCTTCTCAGGAAAAAAGTTTGCCTTAACTTGTAAAGGGTAGTAATGAAAAGTAGTGCAAAAGACTGATGCAGTCCTTGTTATTTTTTCAGTGGTGTCATTGTGCACAACAGGATAGTAAGAACAGGGCTGGGTTCACAAACTTCATTTTCAGCAAGGGTGATAATATAAGTGGGCTTGGGTGAAGGGGAATTTCCAAGTAAAGTGGAAAACATGGGAAAAGGTCCTGCTTTTTCAGTGCTGAAAATCCCACTAGCATCTGTGGGAGCCAGGAATACCTGCAGTTTGGGCATCCCACTGGAAGAAGTGGTGAGCAGGATCCTAGCAGGAATCAAGGGTAGGGAGGGGGGAACCCAAATAGATTAAAAGATGATTTGGACAGAACCATGAGGAATACTGGTTAGTACCATTCATTGTGTTTGGAGGAAGGTGAATGTTTGTGAAAGTCTGAAGGGACATGTTTGCAGCAGTGAGGGAAAGGAATCCCCTGGCCCTGGTGAAGCAGAAGAGGTTGATACCAAGGTACGTATAAAGTGAGAAGTGGCAAAGGAAGAACCCTTTTTTATCCAGACTGAAGGGGTAGAAAATGCTAGCCTGTTTGGTTTGGGTTTTTTGGGGGTGTTTTGTTTGTTTTGTTGTTTTTTTGTTTTTGTTTTTTTTTTTTTTGGGGCATCTACGTTTTAGAAAATGCTAGCCTGTTTGGTTTGGGTTTTTTGGGGGTGTTTTGTTTGTTTTGTTGTTTTTTTGTTTTTGTTTTTTTTTTTTTTTGAGGCATCTACGTATAGCTTTCAGATATTTCTCTGCTTTAGACATATGAATAGAATAAAACCTAGGATCAGAAAGTTTACCAAAATATTCATGGAAGAATTTGTTTCAATTCTCTGATATTACATGATTTATTATTTTAAGTCATTAAGTAGCAGTACAAATTTGGTATGTAAAGTTTGCTAGCCAAAGAAAGATGAACATCTGTTGATAATTTTCATGTCATGTTTAGAAAGATATTAACCAAAGTTTAGATGAACTACAAAGCTCTTGTTTTGCTCTCCATGCTAACATGCAGGGCAATACAAATCTTAATCAGAGGTGGAAAGCATGAAACACTAACTGCTCTTGTCAGGGAGGTAGCCCAGCAGAACTAACACCAAGAGGTAACAATACAGAACTGGGAGCCAACTCCTTAAGGTTCTGTCTTGCACTGATACCAAAATATATTTACACAACAGAATTGTGTCAAAATGCATGTACAGCACAAAATGTCAAACTGCAGATCTTCCTGTCCTAAAAGTTTTGATTCTGGAGCGTATCTCCCTCTTTACCGAAATAAATACGCTTTTTTGCAAAATGTTTCAGCTGCAGTGTAACGATGTGTCTCAACCAAGCAACTGTGTTAAAACATTTCCAGTCAGCTCTAGTCAAACTACATCACAGGCAGTAGAAACAGATGGGGTCCTTAAAATAATGCTGACATTCCTGCTGAAAATTACTATCTGCAGATAAATTAAATGAAAGTACACAGGAAAGCTAGTTGGTCGCTCTTGTGCAGGACTAATTTTTTTTCCAAAGAACTAATTACAGATATAACATGGGTGTGAGTGTGTCACATACCTTTGTAACAGAAATAATGTTGCAGTTGATGAGGTTCTGCAGGAAGAAAGAAAATAGTCACATTCATAGTTAACTTCAGAGAGCTTGTAGTTTATCTAGGTAAGAGAGCTAGCAATTCTAACTGGAAAGCTTTCTGGTAAGGCAGTTGCTTTTAGAGCGCTTTGTTCACCTGCAATTGTCATTGACTGTGCCTGTGATGTGGGATGCTCAAAGGCAGGTTACCCCCGAAATCATTTAATTTTAAACATGGCATTCAAATCTGTTTTGCGTGCCTGTGTTTTGCCCAGCCATGTCGTTGCACCAGGTGAAACCTGGAAGGCAGGGATGGCACCAGCAAACCAACCTGCATGCAGACAGACAGCAAATTTCGGACACCCCAGGCTGAGATTAGGCTGGTTTTAGTGATGGAGACAAGCGATCTCTGCAGCAAAAGCACTGCCAGGTAGAGATATCCTCCCAAGACCAACAAGCAAACATGAGTTGTAGCAGCAGCAGAGGTGCCGTCAACGTGGCTGCAGCTCTGAGGGAAGCAGCCTGCTTGGGCATCTCCAGTATTTCACCTGAGATAGATGCTAGCAAGAAATACATTTGGAAACCCTGGGGTTTTTCGTGGCTGCTACTCTAGAGGTAAGTAACAACACGGCAATGAAAAACTTGATCACAGGCAAACTGTGATCAAGCCAAATCCTGTTAAACTATTCTACATGTGGAAATTAATTCCCCCCCTCCCCTCCCT